ATGAGCTTTTGTATATTCCAACTGCATAGCACGTATTCGACCTATAAAAATCATATATATATTCTTTGTTTTATTTATTTTTTATTCTAAATCTTTACCAAGATAATAAAGATATCTTGCCCATTCATTATTTGATGCATGATCGGGAAAAACCGATTTAAGTACAAGTTTTTGTGCTTGACTATATAAATTATAATGAAGATAATTTCTTAATAATAAATTAATTAATACAGCTGTTCCTTCAAAATCATTACGTAATGTTGCTGTACGTAAACGACTATGTAAAAAACTAAATAATAATAAAACAAAAATTTTTATAATGATAAAAAAAAAAAAATTCAATTCAACAATTACGGTCGAATTGTATCAAGCATATTGTTTAATTCAAATATACGTGCATAATAAAAATAACATTTAGCTGAAAGTAAATCTAATGTTCGACGATTCAGTACACTTGTTTTATCAACAAGTCGTTTAGCACAATCCAATGCCTTAAAATATAAAATAATTCTTTTTATTTGTATAATTAAATTAAATATTCATACAGTTTTTAATGAATTTCGATCAATTAAATGAAGAAGTACAATTAAATGAATATATAAATCTACTTCTGGTAATGCAACTGCACGTGCTCTTGATGTTTGTGGACGAGATGTTAATTGTTTTTCAGTTGTTGTACTTGTTTTACCTGTATCAACATCCATTGGCTGAAATAATTTTCAAAAAAAATAAATAAAATAAACGACAAGTTTTTAATGTTTTGTTCGTAGATTAATTTAAATAAAACCTGAGAAATTGATTGAACAAAACCAAGAAGAATTTCTCGTTCATTTGAATTCGATCCATAATAAAAACAAATAAGACGACGAATAACATCTTCATTAAGACGTTTACGTGTTGATGCAAGTGCACGTAATACACGAAGTATATATCGTGGTTCTTTTGAATTGACAGCTTTTTCAATTGTACGAACTTGTTCTTTAATATCTATTTTATATAATGAGAAAAATTTTTTTTTTAATTTTAAATGAAATAAATTGAAAAATATTATTAACCATCCAATGTTAATGTATTAGCATCTTTTTTCTCATCTTTTGATGGCGCTGTTGTATTTGGTATATTTGAAGTAGGTGCTGCTGGATCGACTTCTTTCATTTCAACATCATTTAATTCAACCATGATATTTTTTTTTGTTATAATTCCAAAAAATGGAATAAGATCTATCACAAAACAAAATTTAGATAATAAAAAACCGAGAAACCTTGATTTTGAAAAAAATAGGTAACTGGCAAAAAAAAGAAACCTGAACTCATGAAATTATGAATGAATCATTATAAAGAACAAATAAACAACTTTGATTAATTGGCTGATCTATACTCATCAATCATAGATGATCAAAAGATGTCGTTATAAGAGAGATTTATTCAATCTGAATAAGAACGCTAATTAATAATTTTTTTTTGTTTTAAATATATTTAAATTAATATGTTTTTAATAAATGAAACCTTATGAATATATTTTTTTTTTATCAAATTGATAGATGTTGTTTGTTTTGAATAAAGGTAACCGTAGTAAAGATACTCATGAGGAACCATTTTCAAGTATCAAATAACTCTTAAGTCGGAACTATGTGTATCATCATGTAAGTCTTAATGAACTATGAATATTTTGAAAAGAGTTCAAATTCTCTTACCTTATTTCTATTGAGATACTGCATTTTTACGACATCTTTCTTTTTAATTAAACACAATGCTGTAATTCGTCTCAGCAATAGAAGCAAAATTCATTTATTGAATTTCGACTTAAAATTTTGCATAGACACAATTCTTAACAAGAATAATTTATTGTGAAAGTTTCAGATCATTTTGTTTTTTCTATCCTAAGATACGACAACTGTGGTAAAAGGCATGCTTTTTATTTTTCTCATAGACACTAGTAGTATTTCAATATTCTTATATCAGAATGCTAGTGATTCAAAATTTGAATCTTTTACTATCAACTACTCTTTTTAAGTTATTTATAGTTTATTAGAACCTCCAGAAAGCATATAGTTCAGACTCAAAAACGATTTGATACTTGAATACACACACTCCCAACAATTTAAGATGTTCGTCTACTGAAACAGTTTTCGAGCAGATACTTGTCCAGTTTTGTATAGCATCGTATGAAAAAATTTTCAATAAGTTATTCGATTGAACACTTAGAAATATTTTGGATTTAATTACCAGAAATAAAACAAATTTTAAAGTACTAAAGTATTCAAAAGTTTCTATTACATACTAATATCTCTTTCAAAATAAAAAGCAAGGCGCCATTTTCTGAATAACTTTCGGTCAATACAAGATATAGACCTACGGTTTTCACTATTCGAAAGAATAATGCTCGACTTATCGATGTATATAGAACTCGTTAAGGGGGAACCCCCCCTCAGAAAATCGATTTTTAGATAAGCACATATACTGAAAGCCCAGTGTCCCCTTTCAGATTATGTATGATTTGTTGCATTTTGAAAGGTTTTGAGTGGTGAAAATAGCGGTTTTCTGGGAGCACTGGTAGAAATATAAGGTTTTATCAGAAATTTTTTTAGTTAGGGAGATGTAACAGTGGTCAACAAACTTGTAGATTTTGGTTAAAGAAAAACACATATACGTTCTGTTACATTAATTAATTAGAGGAACGTAGTCATTTCTGCTTAAAATCCTGTATACATGATGAAATTGCCGTATAGAGGTCGTGACAGTCATAGTGAAATTAATAATTGTTTCATACAAACTTGTTGATTGGTTTTCTCTAAATCACTTTTTTGGAGAGCTCGGAACCGATTTCTTAGACTGTAGAAGAGCTAGCGAACTACTGTTTTTTTTAAATAAAAGGAGAGACCTATGTCTAGAAATGTATATAGCGTTTTTTTCGAAACTCGATTTCTTTGCCGAGATAACTGGATAACACTGATGTCAAAAAGCGCTAAATTCCGAGTTATTGCAGGAAAATGTCTCGGAAATCCGAATAAAATCGAATTTCGAAAAAAACGCTATATACATTTCTAGATTCAGGTCTTCTCTTTTATTTAAAACAAAAGGTAGCTCTCTACCTCTTCGACAGTCCGAGAAATCGGTACCTTACGAGAACCACCATTTTCAGGGCTAATTTGTCAATAACTCATTAAAACAAGAATTTTATGAGTCAAAAATTTGCAAGAAATTTAGTTAACGCAACACACATATTGCCTGAAAATTTCAGCCAAATCAGTCCATGAATAACGAAAAGCGATTCCTGAGGGGGGGGGGCCCTTAAGACGAAAGATATTTTTTTATAGGTACTTTGAACTCAACACTTTTTTCTTTGCGTATTTTCACAATAATCTCAACTCAAAATATGTTAAATCTCATGTTTAGATGATTGTAGTACTATTATCTAAAAATAATCTGTAATTGATATTTGTTATATCAACCAGCATCTATGAGAAATTGTTTCGGTTCTATTGCAAAAAAGAAAACGCCCCAACCGATTTCATTTCTAGTTTTTATTTTCTTGTAAATGCGTCAGATGAAAACATTAGTACAAATATTTAATGATTATTAGTTTGATAAATGTCACTTTATTATTATTTTGTATCAAAAGAAACAATAAGAACATTAAATTTATTGTTTTCCAGATTGTCAGATGCTTAGTTTTTCTATATTTTCCCGACGGAAAGAAAGTACAAACATGCCTACTGCACTCCTGTAACTAAAGTACAGGAAATCATTTTGCCTTAGGTGTCCATTGAAAACGCTGTCTTCTTCTTCTACTAAATATTTTGTTTTTGAATTATTCATCAATACATTTTCAATATTATATATTACAAAGGATTTATATATGTCTGTATAAAATATGCTCCATTAACTTCGTTATTGGTTACAACTTTATGTGCAGAAACGTGTATTTAATGTTTTGTCGCTTGTTCGACTTATGTTTATACAACAATATACATCAAAAATAAACAATATTACATTGCCGATTTTTTTCATCTCTTGTACACTGTATAAATATGTATGATTTTCATTGAGCAAATAATAAAAATATATGCTGTCAAGAATATTTTGAACGAAAGATGGAGAGGTAATTTCAATCTTGAAAAAAAATTTCGTTTTTCTCCAATGAAACTCCAGCATTTTGTTGTTTTTTTGCTCACTAGTTTCCTGAAAAGCGTTCAACTCTCTGTCCAAACTCCGTTTAGAAAAATATCTACCCATCGACGCCAGGATACCTCTATTTGTTACGAATAGCATAAAAATCAATTTCATTCACCATAAAAACTATATGTATATCTAATTTGTCAACAGAAATCTGTCGTATAAGCTAGACTTTTTATCAGTCAAATATTTTCATTCAATAACTCAACATATTTTTGTAAACTTAACGAAAACAGTCATTATGTCATGAATGAATATATATTTTTTACTCAAAACTATGTATATTTCAATAGCCTGAACGGATGATGATGATGAAAAAGAGCGAATAACAACTAGACACGATTCTTGTCAATATTGACATCTTCAGTTATGTGACCAATTGTATTGTTTCTCAAGCAAACGAATGATGTACAAAGATGACTCAAATGGAGGTTTCTCCGACAATCTTGAGAAACTTTCATTTTTCTTCAATGAAGATTCAGCATTTTATAGACATTTTTGCTCACGATCGCTCAAAAAAAGTCGCTCGATCTCCCCACCCCCTCCCCGAAAATCCAGTCTACGTCATCAAAAACCTTCCAATCAGTCTCCTGAGTCATCGAACGCAGTGCCCTTCAGATACATCGAATAATATAATACAATGTATTATTATTGTCTGTTCGTATTACTAATATCAAAATGTCATAGGAACTTAATAAATTTGTTCTCTTACACCACCTATCCTAAACTTCTATTGGTGAATAAAACTAACAAATAAATTCTATTGTTAAAATAACGAATCTTATTCATTTAAAAAAAAACATTAGAAAAACTAAAATAATCCCGATGCCACCTAAAAAAAATTCTCAAATTACAACAAATTCACAATCATCAATTAATATAAATGTTTCTGATGATCATGATGATGATGATGATAATCATATATTTGAAGATGATGCTAATTTTCGACAAATGATTGGTGCATCAATTCAATATATATTAGTACATAGTTCTAAATCTCAAGTTATTAAACGACTTGATTGGATAAATACAGTACTTCGACCAATGGCTAATGATGGACGAAAATATTTTCCTAGTGTACATAAACATGTTATTAAAGTTTTAAATGATACATTTGGTTATAAACTTATATTTGATGAAAAACATGATGGTAAGAAAATCGAAAACAAAAAAAAAGTAATCTTATTGTTTTTTATTTTTTGAAAAATTTTCATATTTTTAAGGTTATGTATTAATAAATGGTTTAAAACAAGGTCCACTTGAACATCGACCATTAGCTAATTCTAATCAATATTCAAAATATGCATTATTAATGATAATTATAGCTTGTTTAAAACGTGCTGGTGGTGAAATGACATCAATTGATTTTTGGGGAATACTTGGTGAAACATTTTCTATTCGTAATGATGAATCAACACGTTTAACTATAAATCAACATAAAATATTTGGTGATGTACAAAAATTAATTAAAAATGATTTTGTTAAAGAAGGTTATCTTATATTTGAACAAGCAAAAGATTTTACGGGTGATACACCAACACAAACAGTTAAACTTGGATTTCGTGCTCAACATGAATTTCCTGATGAAATACTTGAGAAATTTATTGAAAAAGTTGAAGATTATGGTATTGAAAGTGATAGAGAGGATGAAAATGATAATGCAATGGATGAAGATAATTAAATAATAGATTTATGTAAATTTTCTTTCGGTTTTTTTTTTCTACTTTTGTTTGTTCTAGATGACGAATAATAGTTTTGATGAAGTTAAAATTCAATTTGAAAAGGTTTATTTAAATTTTAATAATAATAGTTATTTAAAAAAAAATAAAAAAAATTATTTTTCTACAGTTTCTATTTCTAATTCGAAATGTTTTAACATCAGAAAATGAAATAAATATTATTCAAAACAAACTTCGACGTCATTTTAATACAACAACATCTGATTATTTATGTTCAAATGAATTTATATCATCACTTAATCATATTCAAAATATATTTGTTGAAAATAAAAAATCAGCAAAATATTTTACTCTATTAGCTTCATTTGATGAACAACTCAAAAAACATTCTATTAAATTATCAAGGTAAATAACAATTATGATAATTAGATTTTTTGATTAAATTAAATTAAATCTAATAGATTGTCGTTATTTAATAGGAAATAAGTTATATTCGAATAACTATAATAAGTGCCTGCGGTATAATTTAACATTATGTACACTGTAATTCGATTAGTATGTGCAATAGAGTTTTTGTAAAACACAATCTATAAGAAGTCTTGAACTGTATAGGGTAGAAATTTGCACATTCACAGACAGGATCAGCGTTCTCGGTTAAGGGAAGATATGGTGCTTTCACTCAAATGCTTAATTATTTGCCTGTTTGTTTTTACAGCTTTGTTATAATTTTGGACAGAAATTGAATTTATGGAGGAGAGACGATCTGATGATAGGTCATCTATTGTGGAAAAGAATGAATCATGATGAATTTCGTTTTTCCTGAACCGAACGACTTGTCAACAGTATTAGGATGCATCGAGAACAACTAAATTCTGTCTGTTTTTAGAAAGTTCAAAACTATTCACTCTCTTGATACAAAACTTTCAACAAAAAAAAACCGGTCGTAGTTTCGCGATAGTAATCAAATGGCTCGAACTCGTCCAGCTCTAAAGCCTTTAATAGTTGAGCGAGAACAAACTATTTAAAACTGCTTTTCTTTCGTCATATGTATCTATCCAGGTTGATCATTCCGAGTGTCTGATACGACACCTTAAACTGTCTAAAGAGGTGGAGAAACTGTATGATGAAAATCGAACGTCATTTTTCACCGCTTTTGGAATGTTTTTCGTCAACTTGGATTACGGATCATTTTTTTGTCGTATGCGGCTTATTTTCATTACTCGAATTGCACTACAGGTAACAACCTTACTTGTACTTTCTATTATTATACGAAGAATTTCATTACATAAATCGTGTTTTGGCATATGGATTCGTCATTACGAACTACATTCAAGGTAGATCAATGAAAAAAAGATTGCATACAAATGCAATACTCATGCCTTCATCTGTGTGAAAATACCATTAAACATGTTCTTTTTTAGATAAAATAGTTTACTAATAAAAAAAAAAGCCTATAATTTCAAGAATGTATTGTTTTAACACATAACTCACTTTAGTCGTTTTTAAATATTTACGAACTTTTGTTTTGATATTCAATAAGAAGAATTATTGGAACTTGAATAAACTTCCTATTAACCATCTAGGACACAAAAGAATGATTTTTGTAGAGTACACACTCTATCGTTGAATAAAAAAATCTATCAATCAATGGTTAAACTAGCTTTAAAAAGTTAATTAAAATCTGATATTAATAAAAAGAGTAAAGTACAGTTCCATTTTCGCAAGACATATTTATCAAATATAATGAGAAAATTTTCGTCGGGACGTAAACGATCTTCGGAACAGAAGACTTTTCGAGTTTGACATCATAGATACTCTTTCGTTCTTATATTGTTTTATTTCTTTTGTTGTATTGATTTTATTTATTAAATCCTCAGTTCAAAGAAACAAAAATTTATTTTAATCATAATTAATGTAATAAAAAATTACCTAAATATTATTTTTCTTAGGTTGAATTCATTGCCAACTCACGTTTCTGAATGTTTACCCTCCGTGACTACTACTATTGAAACTGTCTCAGTAGTAAATAACAGAGTTACAACAACACTTCCTTCATATTCATCAAAATCTACTATTGAATATGAAACATCAATAACAGATGTACAAGAAACAATTGATCATCTTGTAGAAAAATGTTGCAAAATTTTATCAAAAACAACTTCTAGTGATAAAATGATATCAATTCCTACTCATTCAAATAAAGATTCAAAACATCAACGAAAAATAATTAAATTAGAACGTCGATTACATCGTTTATCAAGAATTATACGTGAATTAGAAGAAAAAGATATGTCACTTGATGAAATGGCTCATTGTGATTTATATATTGTTGAATCAAATTTAAAAAAACAAGCATGTGATGTAAATTAAATAAATATTTTTTTTTTTTTTTTTTTTTAATGAAGAAAATAAAAATTTTCAAAATGATTTAGATTCATGATAAACTTGCTGAACTTAAAAATCAATCATCATCGATTGAAAGAATTATTCATCAACCAATTACTCTCAATGGTAAATATTTCTCTTTTATTTATTATTGTTCTATTTTAATTAAATTTAAGAATCTGATATTGGTCATCCATTACTAAACAAACATCTACAAGAAATGGTTAATCAATCAAAACATTTTCCTTCATTTAGTGATGTTCTTGATACAATTGAAAAAGCAAATAATACATATAAACTTCATCTTAAGTAAAATAAATTTCTTTTTTTTTTGAGTTTTTTGAAATAAATAATTAAATTTTAGTGAAGAAGCTCAAAAAAAAATTGCTGAAAAATCTTTTAAAATCATTGGTAAACAAATTAAAAATCGACGAATGGCTGATTTTCAGGATATTATGTACAGTCGTCTTCCAGAAGATTTTAAGTATGAGAAAATTAAGTTTTTATTCTTTGTTTTTTTCTTTAAATATAACGAATTATATTGAAAAGTAATTTGACAGAATATTGTTTTCGAATATATGAGTTTCAATATTTCTCTAAGACTTCTGATTTAGCTTTTAAAGGCTCGAAAATCGACACTCTTTTTACAGCAATAGTCTCTGTTATTTTTATTTATATTGAAACAAGAATTTTCAAGTACTCTTACTTCACCCTCGAGAAATCCAATCAAGCTGTAGTTCATATATTAAAACGAGACATTATTGATACACAATCTTTAATCTTAGATCAACAACATCTGTTACAATTTATGACGTGGCGAGAAGAAGGGGGCATTACCAACTATTAACAAGAAAGTACTCGAGAATAGTAAAAAGAGGTCTGTAGCAGATGAAAATTTTAACTCTAATTTAATGTTCTCGAATTTCTGCAAACTTTTTTAATATGTCGAAAAAATATGAATAAACATTTGGTCAAATCACTTTTCGATAATGAATTATTCAGGTCAAGAAGTATGAGCCAGTTCCGGCCGGAAATATCAATATGGATGTATCGGAATTTTTTTTTTGGTTTTTGTATTTTAGTGTTGAAAGAGATGATCCAGCATTAATTGATGTTGAAATTGAAAAAGTTTTATCGGAAAATAATCGTGAAGCTGTTATTAAAACTGAGAAAGTATGCTAAATATAAATATAAAATCTAAATAAATAATAATTATTTTTCATGTTAAGATTCTTGAAGAATTTTCTCAAATTGAACCTGATCCAGAAGCTGAAATCAATATTGAATCAACTGAAGAAGAATCAGCAAATGAAAAAGATGAATCAGAAGATGAAAATAATGAACAAAACGAATCATCAATTGAAAACAACGAACACCAAGAATCACAAACAATCATAGAATCTCATGATATACAATATGATGTTGTGGATCTAGTTGCACCATTATGTAAAATTCATGATTTTATCGTTTTTATTAATTAAACAAATAAAAAAAATTCTTTATTTCTTTTTTCACAGCACCAGAACCCATAATTCAAAATCTACCAGAATCAAATTCTATTGAAACAACACTTGAAATATCACTTAATGATCGTGCATTAACAATTTTATCAACAGCTTCATTACCTATTAAAAGAACAACACATTATCGAGAATCAGCTGTTCATAACGATATTCAATCATCATCAATCATTCAAAAAGATAGTCATGTTGAAACATTAATACCACGACGTAAACAAGATGTACTTGGTAATGAAATTATATATAGTCTTTATAAACAACGATTGACAAATAAAGTTTCAACTGTATCGACACCAGTAGCTAATAAAAGACAAACAACAATAAATAACGAATATTCAAATGTAAAAAAGCCAAAACAGCAACAACAACAACAACAACAACAACAGCAGCAATCAGAAATAATTGTACTTGATTAAATATTGAATTTTTCTATACAAGTGTATACAATCTGTTGTTCTGTTTTGCGTTTCAATGTTATATATGCATATATATTTTCGTTTTCTGTCAAATAGATACTACTAAGGTTTTGATTTTTTCGAAGTTTCAATTGATAATTTTTTCATTGAATGTATAATCTTGAACAAAAGTCTTCCCCTCCCTAAATTCACTATTTATTCATTTAGCATTATTGTTAATCATTAACTCTAACATATTATTTCATTAGTGTATTAGCAGTACGAAATAATATTTCTATTCCAGGTTTCGTTGAGTCCAAAAGTCAGTTATACGGCTATGACGAAAGTACTCTATTATGACATGACAATGGTGAAATATCGGCTCAAACAACAATGAAAGCAGTGAAACAGTTTGACTGATTCACTCCGATCTGAAAGTTTGTTGCCAGGACAAATATTGCAAGTCAATTGAAGCAGAAACGAGTTAAAGTCAATAACAAAAAAAACGTGCGACAGCGCTTAAGGAAAGCAAGCACGAAATACGATCGACTCGTATTAAAAATATTGCTAATGGAAGGTCTCGGAGAGAATTATTCAAAATGGGGACAATCTTATGAGGCTATGAACTGAAAACAAATGGTCTTTTCTGACAAGATCACCATCCGTCTGAAGTTCGCCAAGGGATTGCCTTGGAACTTATCAGAAAAAAAAAGAAAATTGTGCGAATCGTCAAACATCCTCTTGCATTCGATGTTTGGATCGTGTCGTCTGTTTAAGGCAGAATCTACACGCAAAATCGAAGTGTGATATTCATAACAATACGAGAATAATGTAACCAAGATTCGACATTTTTCAAACATCAAGAAAACAACGGCGCCAAACTTCATGTCGCAACCAGTAATCCATTGAAGAATGAATAATTCGTTTATATCATTCGATCTTACAACTATTGAAAATCTTTGAAGACTTCTTAAGATAAAGTGAAAAAAACCTTATAAGTAATCAATTGCGAACTTCAGCAAAAGTTTCAACAATAATGATCATATCATTCTCAAAAGATTTAATTTCCAAGTAGACTTGATAACTACATTCTTTTATGATAAACTGCTAGTTTCTTTTGAAAATGGAATATTTTCAAAAAAGACATGTTCAAAGTCTATCTGCTATCCATTTCAAAATAGAATACAGCACTAGTAGAAATCGAATAGCTCAGCAGCGGCAGAAGATATCGAGATGCGGTTTTCTGTATTCGAAAGTCAAATATGGGGCTTGTATAAAAATGTTTTTGAAAATTTCTTTTTCGATTTTTAGGTGGGCAGAGGGAGGTTTTACTGGAAAAAGTCGAAATTTGGGGGAGGGGGGATGGAATTTAGATTTTTCAAGTTTGAGACATGCAATGGATAGCAGAGACATTTCTCTACAATCCTGACCAAAGAAAAAAAATTTTTGATGCTTTCCTGAGAAATCAGGTCTGACACCGGAAAAGCCCCAAAAAGACAGTTTTCACCTTGGCGGCGTGGCCACGCGTGATGGAATTTCATTTTTTCAGATTGCAACCTATATAACTGCTTAGTAATATAAGCAAACTGTCTGAAATTATTATCATAAATACAGCTCACTTACATCTATTATCAGTAAAAATTTCACAAATTTCTCTTCAACCGCAGCAGAGTTATTCAAAAAATAGTGACCGTTACGGAATTTCTAAAAATGGAAATTTTTTTTAGGGAGGCTACAAGTTAAGCATTTTTATACGAAAGAACGAAGTGTTCAAATGAAGGTTATATTCAAAAGTTGTTCAGCTTTTAACAAGCTATTAGAATATCAAGTCATTTCTGATTCGTCTTAGCTTCATCAAATAAAAAACTTGAAATATCGCTCGTTACGGAATTTCACTTTGTTACGGAATTTCATCTTTTTTTGTA